AATTTCTATCACTTCTACTTATCATATAGTTACCAGTTTATGTCTACCTTTTTCAAAATTATGACCTCATTTAAGATGGGGGTTTTCTTTTTCATTTTTGTACCTCAAGGCCTCACACAGGGTGTATAGTTAGCATTGAATAAATAATTCAGTTTGGCAGTTTTTTTTGTCTTTTTGTCTTTTTCCGTGTCCGGCAACGGATCGCAACCCTCAGTGTTGCCCCCGTACCGGACCGGGGACCGGCAACGGGATTGCAACCCTCGGTGTTGCTCCCGCGCCTCGCTCAGCCAGTGAGCGGGAACCGGTCTGTATGTGGGATCCGAACCCTTGGGTGGGAACGCCGCCGCGCTTCCCAAGCGGCGCACTATCCAGTGCGCCACCGGGCCGGCCCCAGTTTGGCAGTTTTGTATAAAACTTAACTGTACTCCTACCATAAGATCCAGCAATCATGCTCTTCAGTATTTACTTAAAGAATAAAAAACTTATGTCCATACAGAAACCTGCATAAGGATGTTTATAACAGCTTTATTCATAATCACCTAACTTGGAAGAAACCAAGATGTCCTTCAATAGAGTAATGGATAAATAAACTCTGGTATATCCATACAGTGGAATGTTATTCGGTGATAAAAAAAAGGAAAGAGCTATCAAGCCACAAAAGATGTGGAAGAACTCCAGGATTCGGCTGTCTACATTGAGTGGACAAAGATGCCTTTATTTAAAGAGGGAGCACTGAGAAGAGTCAAGTTGAATGTGTATGAATCCCACTTCAGACATTGAGTTTGAAATGACTGTGAGATACCCAAGTAGAGCTGAAGAGTCAGCAGATATATAGGTCTAGGGTTTAGAGGACTGGTCTGGGCTGGAAGTAAACATTTGATAGTTCTCTTAGTATGTAATGGGTAGTTAAAATGAAGGCTGTGGATAAGATTATCTAGGTATGTATTTTTGGACCAGATACCCACTGAAGCTGTTTTGAGGTTCTTTCTGATTTTTTTTATAGTCTCCCAGCAAAGCTCACAATTGGTTCAAACTGACTTAAAATGTTTTTAAGAGTCATGCTGTATGGCACTAAGGTTTAGCCTCTTAACCAATTACTATTGTAACTACTTAAGAAAATCCAACCTTCTTTCCTGAGAAAAATGTTGACTATGTGTAGGTACCATTTTATTGGCCTACACCTGTGCTGGTGTGTTGATCTTTTGACTAAGATAGACTTCAAATTTATGTGCTGAAGTGTACACAACTGAAAGAGAACTTTGCCTTTTCACATCTGGAGTTTAAACCGTATGGCTTTCATTCATTCATAACACAAAATAGCTACAGTACAGCAACTTCCCAGAATATCCAATCAAGAAAGAAAGAAATCCATTTTTGCAAGATAGATATTTGTGGAGGAGGAGGGAAGCAAGATGTAACCCTCTATTGTGTTAAATAATCAGTAAGAAAAGTATTTGTCATTGAAGGTTTCTGTGTTATTTTACTCTGCTCTGTTGCCCTAACTTGGATCATTTCCTTGTATCTTTGAAGGTTAAGGTATTAAAATACAACTTTCTTTTTAAAAAAAAGGACACAGAGTAACCTTAAATGCATATTGCTAAGTGAAAGAAGCCAAAGCCAATCTGAAAAGGATGCATACTGTATGATTCCAACTGTATGGTGTTCTGGAAAAGAAAAAGAAAACCCTGGAGCCAGTTAAAAGATCAGTGGTTGCCAGGAGTTTGGAGAGAGGGAGGGAGGGAAGAAGAATAGATGGAGCACAGGGGACTTGTAGGGCAGTGAAACTATTCTGTATGATACAGTCATGGTGGACACAGTCATTATACATTTGTCCAGACTGGTACAATCTACAGCACAAAGAGTGAACTCTAATGTAAACTATAGGTTTTAGTTAATAGTGATATTGTATCAGTATTCATCCATTGTAACAAATGTAACACACTAATACCAAGTGTAAATAATAAGAAAAACTGGAGTGAGGGAAGTAAAGGAGGTATGTGGGAACTTTGTACTTTATTATCAATTTTCTGTAAACCTAAAACTGCTCTGAAAAAATAAAGCCTATTAATAAAAATAATTAGCCAGGTTCTTTATACAACTTTCTGGGGACTTTTGTTGCTATATCTTTCTTTCATACACATGGAAATCCATCCACGTCAAGGCATTTCCACGAGATCTGGTCCAGAGGTTGGGGGGCCCTAGATTATGATCTTTCCTCTTCAGCTCTATTCCAAGGTAACATACTTATCTTTTCCATTTCTCTGCCATTTATGAGTAATTTACAAATTAATAAGTGTCATGCAAGACATGCAAATCCAGGTAATTTGAGCAGTTTTACATTATACATATGCAAATTATGTTGTACCAATTTATTATTTTAAGTAAATGTCAGTAAATTTGACATTAATATGTGCTTACCCAAATTTATGACATGACCTAATAAGTAAGTGAGTTTGAAACACATGACACCTTAAAAAAAAACTAATAAGGGAAAGTTTGGAAATCTAAGGAACATGTTTTAATTGTGGAAATATACATATTAACCAACAATAAAAAATACATTCATGAGTTTTCATTCATCGTCATGGCAATATTGATCATGTTCATTGCAGTGAATTATAGATCAGTCAGAATAAGTTCTCATGTCAATTGTCTTTTTTTTTTTTAAATCTGTTTTGTTTTGGTGGCTGGCCAGTAGGGGATCTGAATCTGTGACTTTCATGTTCTAAGGTTGCGCTTGAACCACCTGAGCTAACTGGCCAGCCCTAAGTTCTCATTTCAAATCTGTAACTTGGATTCACATTATTAAAGAAAAAGGCCATGTATTCTGGTGCGGCTCCCTTAAACAATAGAGTAAAATAGAAGAAATGAATATTTGTGTCACATTAAGGTATTTTATATATATTGTACTAATTTCTGTTCCTTTAGTTCTTGTGGCAGAATTTTTGCATTTTGTAACTGCTGTCCTAGGAACCCCTCATGAGATGTTGGATTTTCAAAGGAGAAAAGGCCATCCAAGGTCATGTCAACCAAGGTCCTCACTGAAAACTCTGAACTGAGTATTAATGGCAGTCAGAATCCAAACACATTGCCTCTTTTTTCCTTTCAAGTTGCGAATTCATTAACATCCAACAGCAACCTCACAATATAGCCAAGGTTTAAACAAAAACAAAAACACGCACAAAATATGCCTTTGGAAAAAAACAACTACTAAAGGTGATCTTTTCCCTATTTATTTAAAAAAATAGTAAATCTGTTTTGGTAACATAACATTTACTTCCATTAACTATGTACCGGTTGTTTCTCTAGCAGTACATGCCTAAGTCCTTGCTCCTTTTTAATTTTTTTCTGACATCCAGGTAGCACAGTGCGTCTCACCAAAGGGACCTCTTGCTTGTTCAAGAACATACTTTTTTGGAGCTACTCACATTCCATACTTGGGTAAGTTCCTGTAAGTCATCATCTGATCAGCTTACCTAATGAATGGTTTCTCCCATGAACTAGAAGTTGATGTATGATTTACTACTTTGTTCAGAACCTCATGATACCCAATTTGTGGGCCTCCAACTTCCACTCTGATTGCAGTTGGAGAGTTGATGTGTCTAACACGTTTCTCACAGGATGTATTTCAGGAGAAAAACTATTGGTTTAACCTGTATTAAGTCTAATCGTGTATAAGACCCTATGCTTAGTGTCAGAGGGAAGGCAAAGATTAAGAAGGCCTAGTTTGAGACAGCAGGAGGTATGGACTGCATTGGGAGTTTGGATGACTCCGCCAGGTGCCCACCCAACCTGTTCTTGTGGGGCAAGTGAGAAAGGGCCATGACAGAACGGTACCCAGGAGCTGGGAACAAACAGCAGTGGCGGGAGCGCTGCTGCGCTCCCAAGTGCCGCACTCCTGAGTGCGCCACGGGGCTGGCCCTAGACTTGGATTTTCTGAGAACCTTCATGGCAGTTCCAGTCTGGCAAAGAAACAAACTTTCTTATAATGATTTTAGGAAGTGAGAAGTCAGAAAGAGCAAGATTTGGGGGGGAAGACAGAGATCCCCTCAGAAGCAGTCTTTGTTCTCCAGATCGAGCAAGCTGATGTTTTACAGTGATTTAATTTGAATTTAAGTGAAACCCAGTCTCTCCCCAGTCAGGTAATCTCTCTTGCCCCCAAGCTCTCCCACCCTGAGGTTCCAGTAGCAGCCAGCTGTCAGCAAATTTGGTGAGGAGACAACATAAAGATGTGGTATAGTTAGTTCCTGGAAATGCAACAAGTCTGTATCATAATACTGAAGGGGTTCCTGGTCTGAGGGTAGTTGTTCCTGCACATAGAGGGGCTAGAGATCCTACATAGTTTTATTCTGTTTGGTCACAAACAGGGAGGGTTGGTCTTTTGAGCAGAGTTCAGAGGAGGTGACATTTCTTAAGACTTTTCTTTTTTTTTTTTTGTCTTTTGTCTTTTGTCTTTTTCCGTGTCCGGCAACGGATCGCAACCCTCAGTGTTGCCCCCGCACCGGACCGGGGACCGGCAACGGGATCGCAACCCTCGGCATTGCCCCCGCGCCCCACTCAGCCAGTGAGCGGGAACCGGCCTGTATGTGGGATCCGAACCCCCGGGCGGGAGTGCCGCCGCGCTTCCCAAGCGGCGCACTCATCCAGTGCGCCACCGGGCCGGCCCTTAAGACGTTTTAACAAGAGCAAAGTAGAAATCAAACAAGGCACATGACTTTTATTTATTTTTCTTTTGTTTTTTATTTATTTATTTTTCTTTTCTTTTTTATTTATTTATTTATAAATTGAACTATAATTGATTATACATATTTTGGGGGTTCAACATTGATGTATGTTGATCAAATCAATATTATTAGCATATACATTATTACAAATCATACTTATTCTTTATGCCCCTTATCCAATCTTTCCCCATCACCTCTCACTCCCTTCTCCCACCTCTGATAACCCTAGATTCTTCTCTCCTTCTGAAAGAGTAACAGTTACTTAGTTGATTTGTAGGCACATGACTTTTAAAAAGTTTAGAAATCAGTGAGTTTCATTTTTGTACTTTTCTCATTCTGTTTAGAAATCACTTTCTTAGGGACTGTCATTTATGTGCATACAGCTTTTGATGACACCTGGTGATGCTGTAGTTAACCATTATTTTTTGTTTTTAAAGTAGGCTCTTGTCCCAGGTATATGCTGCTGTTATTGAGGCTGTCTTGGCTGGCATTGCATGTTATGCTAAAACTTCCAGTCTAACAAAGGTAATTTAAATACCATGTTTCTCTTTCTGTAATTGTTATTTTAATGTAAAACATCTTATCTATCTGTTTATTCTTTGGACACCTTGTGGTACTCACTTTTGTGTGAGCTTGGGCCTCTTTGGCACCAGGCAAAGAGATACCTTTAGAGTGCTGAGCTTCTGCTGCCTGTGACTTGTGCTGCTGTTGTCTTATGAATGACAGCTAATTAGCACTTCTTTGTAGTCATCTTGTGTTTAAAAAAAATCATTCTGTAGCATGTTGCTTTGTTTAATATTTTAAACAAAAGACTTTTGAAAATTAAAATTAATGAAAAATATAGGTTATGTTCTACTGTGAATTTTAATAGTTAGGTGTTTGTTTTGAGATACATAATTTGATTTCCTATAATTCACTGTTTAAAAACAGCTAAAGATTAGAAAATCTTACTTGCCTTTCCTAGACAAGCACATGTGTTCTCGTTCTCTGACCGTTATCTTCCTTGCTGTTTTGCGGTTAACCTGCCCTGCTGAGTTGGATTCCTATATCTGACCCAGTAAGGAGATGAGAAGAGTCGGCTTGATGCCTCCCAATGCCAATAGGACCTTTCCTGAAGGAAGCCATTTGACATTGGAAAGGTTGTGTATGCTGTAGATATCAGAGAGACTGTAGCCATAGTCACCAGCTTCTCACTGTCTCCCCTCCTCACTGAACTTGAATTTCTGGTACTGATGTGGGATTCTCAGCTCTTTAGCTGCTAAGTGGTAGAGGCAAAGCAATGGGATGTCCTTCAATAGCAATTCTCAGACCTTTGTTTTTCAACTGATCTTTTGTAACTCTAGCTATTTGAATATTCTTAGCATCTGGCAGAAACTCTGAGGGCAGTGTCCCTCCCCTACAGCCAGGGTAGATGGGAGGAGAAAGCATTTTTCCAGTCTTCATACTCCACTGGCATCATCCCAGCTGATTACATCTCTTCAGGTAGATCAGGTTCCAAAGCCCACATGCCTGAATGTAGTTTTTCCTGTGAACCCAGCCTGAAGTAAGCAGGCGTCCAGTCTTCATACTCCACTGGCATCATCCCAGCTGATTACATCTCTTCAGGTAGATCAGGTGCCAATGCCCACATGCCTGAATGTAGTTTTTCCTGTGAACCCAGCCTGAAGTAAGCAGGCACCTATTTCTCTTAACGCAATGCTTTCACTTTAATCTATTGATGTATACAGGGTAGTCACATAGAGGGGCATGCCACAGTGTTCTTAGGGCTCTGCCTTTCAGTGAAGTGTATACTTTTTGCTGCTGTGAAAGCTAATTGTCTCTGTTTTGGTAATGATTTTATAGGCCAAGGAGGTAGCAGAGCAGACCCTGGGATCTGGCTTAGATTCCTTTGAGTTGATTCAGTTTAAGGCAGCCCTACGGTAAGCAATGTCTCATGTTTTTATGAGGAATTTTTTAAGTTTGTTTTTAAAATACTCTTTTGTCCCTTATGAATTATATTCCATTTCCCCTTTGAGAAGTGTTGCAGTAAAATAATCGGAGGTATAAAAGGGAATCATTCATGATCAGGCCTTTATTTGAGAAGCCAAGGAACCAAAGATGTAGGAACCGTATGAGAAAGAGTCACACACATTCTGAGGCTAGAATGTGAGGCAAATTGATAGCAGAATGACAAGACACCTGACAGGCCCAGATTCCGAGATTAGAAAGGTACAGCTGGGGACCTGAGTTGTGAGGTTTATTAGGGACAGGGGCCCTGGCACGTGAAGGTAATCACTGCTTAGAAGTGATTTGCCCTAAGCCTCATCTGCCTAATCAGATGGCAGAAACCCTGTGCTTGGCCATGTCTCAGGGTCTAGATGTTTTGGGAATCTGGCTTCCTGGTGGTCTTCCCATCACCTCTCCCAGCACCTCACAGTGCATCTCTATGTGGTCTTTGTCCACAGCTAAATTTTAATGAACCAGTCCAGTTAAACCACTGTCCCACATGAGGACCATTTTGTGCACTTTTAGGCAATGGATACAAAAGACAACAATACTGGGGAATTTATTTAAGAATACTTCTGGGTGTGCCCTATGATGCCTCATTCTATGTCCCACATTTTCTTACATCTGTTGCCCTGGCTAGTAAGAGGGAGCATTTGAAAGACAAGTCAGTCTATTGATCTAACAAGAATTCTATTGCTTCAGCTCCAGGAGTGGAGGAAAAAGCCAGAGCTCTGTGGTACACATTTTCTTACATCTGTTGCCCTGGCTAGTAAGAGGGAGCATTTGAAAGACAAGTCAGTCAATTGATCTAACAAGAATTCTATTGCTTCAGCTCCAGGAGTGGAGGAAAAAGCCAGAGCTCTGTGGTGCAAGGCTTTAGGCTTCAAGTTTTCTTTCCTGTGGGTCTTCTGGCTCTTGTTGCTCTGGCCATGAAAGGGGGGTGCAGGGGGAGAGGAAGCTTGCTTCCTTACAGCCTTGTGCTGCCCTGTACTGTCTGTTTCTGGCAGACCTGAGTTTGAGAAACTTCCTTCACTTTCCAGCTATGTGACCTCAGACAAAATAGAGAACTCTCTGTATCTGTTTCCTCAACTACCTATCTTGTAGAGTGATTAGGCATATAAATGTTAGCTGCTGTCACATTGGGGTCTTCTCTGTTACCATTGACATGACTGACATAGTCGTTCCACTCATCCTTTCCTTGGGCCCTTTCCTAGGCCACTCAGCCTTCACAAGGCAGGCCAACTCTCAATTCCAAGGCCTCCTAGGCCTGGGTGTACCACCCTAGCTGGAGGAAGGCACATGGAGAAAATGCCAGGCAGTGGGAGGAGAGTCTCTACATACAGACCTACCGCCTTCCCTCCACAAGAGTCACTTCACTGAGGACCTTCGCACTGCATCAAATTAGCAGATCTCCTGAGAGGGGAAGGAGAGGGGAGCCATGAACACACACAGGAAGTTAGTGTGTGACCAACCAGTACTTGGTAAGGCAAGAAATTAAACTTAGACAATTTAGAAACTTTCTTTTACGAAAAGAGTAAGCCAAAAGAATTTTCTGGTTATTCCTCAGCTGTGGAGGCCCGACCCTGCCCGTGGTTCCACAGCAGTTGACTGTGAGGAGCAGAGACATGGCCTCTGCTTGGGTGTACAGCAGGGATGGCAGCTTGACCCAAAGGTGGGAAAGAGGAGAAGGATCAAGGCAGTATATAAAGGCTGTGGGGCAGGAGACTTTGGGCAGTGAGGGTCACTCCTAGTCTGCAGTGGGCAATCCTGTTATGTCAAGTCAGCCCTGAGAACCTGCACAGAGGCAGGGCCATCACTGGAGTCATACACTGGCCCCGTACATGCTGATGGTGTGGGACCCTGGGAGAGGTATCTCAAGTTTCTAAGGTAAATCTGTGTAAAGCAAGGATGACACACACCTCGCTGGGTGGCCTTGAGAATTCAGAGCAGGTACGCTGCAGAGGCAAGTGTCCAGGGAGAATACCAACCCAGTAGTCAGCAAAAGCAGACTGATTTTTGTTTTGCTTTGTTTTGTTTTGGTTTTGGTCTACAGATCAAAGATGACTTTTCATATACATGCTGTGAATAATCAGGGAAGGTAAGTATATGATTGTGGTACATCCTCATATGGGTCAAGTTTTAGGAGCATGAAGAGAGGAGAGGCTGCCTTGTAGTGACTGACATAGATGATCTCACGGTTCTACACCTGGCAGTGACTTCACTCCAACGTTGGGCTCGGGGCTGGCTGTGCACAGCTGTGCACCTGTACCCTGAGTGCTTCCGTTGAAAGGGTTGGGGGTGTGGGTGGACATAATTCACCTCAGTGGCCGACATACTAATTCTACATGTATGCAACCTGGTGTTTTGAAAATCCCTGAGAGAAATCTTGAGTTTCTGAGTTGTCATCACAAAGCTGAAAGAAAGAAAGAGAATGTTGTAAATTTCAGTACGGTTAAAAATTCTCTTGGGCTGGCCCTGTGGCGCACCCTGATCCGCCGTGGGTTCGGATCCTATATGGGACTGGCCGGTGCGCTCACTGCGGGCAACACCACACCAAGGGTTGCGATCCCCTTGCCGGTCACACACACACAAAAAATTCTTGAACATATGTCTCTCCCATCTCTTTCCTCTTCTAGAATTGTGCCTCTGGACGGTGAAGATAGCTTATCCTTTGTGAAGACGGTAAGCAGAGTTGTTATGGGTCAGTTGGCTGGGAATGGCCCATTAGAAGCACATCTACAAAGGGTAAGGTGGGAGTGGGTTGAGGTCTTGGGCAGCCCACCTGCTACCTGAGCAAAGTGGTCTGTTCTCAGGACTGTCTCAGCTGCAGTGATGGGGATCCTGTATTTTCTGAGGATACCCAGGCAGCTGTGCCAGGCCCACCAAAATCCACACACTCATGCCTAGGCTTCTCCAGGGTCCAGAAGCTTAACTGAGGGGCAGGGGCACCTCTTTGTAAGGTTATGAAGCCTTCTCCAAGTAGCTGAGATTGCTCTGACCTCATGTGGAAAAGTGAGCTGAGAACAAGCCTACCTCAATCAGCAGATCAGTGAGTTTTCAGTAGTTTCTTTGCATTCTCACCCTGCATTGATGCCCTTAACAGAGACCTGGGAAAATTAATTAATAAACTAACAACAATCAATAGGGACCCGGGTCTCCAGTGAAGTGGGGTAGTCAGAGCAAAGCTTTTCAACCCACGTGCTAGGGCCACACTGATGTGCCAGGGGAATGGTTTACAGACACACTGATATCTTGGTCCCGGGGGTGGGATGGCCTAGGGGAGCCAGAGTTTCTAGGCCAGTTGCTGCCGGCTGCAAGCTGAGTCCTCCATTTACCCCTGTGCATCCTGATGTGAAGAAGGTTGGCAAGCAGTGCATGAGAAGATGGTGGATATTCAGCCAGACTCTGGTTGTAGTATGTGTGGGTACAAGTTATACCTTGAGTCTGTTCTGTGACCACTGCCTGAGCCTTAATTCCACCAAGCTTTGGTCATGGGGTGCACAGCTGTGAATGACTTGGTATAAATGCATCCCTATCACTATCATCAGTGGAAAAGCAATTCAAAGTCCCCTTCAGTAGTGTTGTTTCATCTACAGAGAATAGTACAACAAGGCTAATTTTTTAAGGTTGTGAGTAATATATATTTTTATAATGTTCATGTTCCCATCTGTCACCATTTTGTGTTAATGTTGTTTTAGAACTAATTTAGACTTTTTTGTGACATCATTAAGACATTGGGAAATGCTTTCTGATATTTAGGCATTAATACTTTATCACCCTGCTAGACTTTAAATCCCTGACTTCTCTCCTTGGACTCTTATGCAATGCTTTAGAAGGCGCCTTTCACAATAGTAGGTGATTAGGAGTCTAGGGGAATTATACTCTTGTGTTATGTATGCATTCCATAGATAGCAGCTAATGAAATAGGAAGGAAGAGGCAGGAAGTTGGTGCTTTCTGTTCAAATCTTCTCCTCCCATCCAGACAGAGATGAAGTTTCGCCGCCTCCTCAAAGCCTTCCCTATTGATTTCTCCCTACAAGTACTGTATTCCTATAGTACTTGCCATTTGTACTAACAAATTAGGGAGTAATTCTATACTAAAGTGTCATGATGACTTTCATGTAACAATGTTCTTGTCTCTACAGCATACATTATAGATTTCCTAAAGACAGGCACCGTGTTAAATTTTTTCTTCCCCATGCCACATAGTGGGAGGTACAAAGCAAGTATCCAACAAATGCTACATCTGTTCTTTTCAGTGTCCTCTTTCCTGTTTCTCAGTACCAGAGGCCAAATATGAAAGTGAACCCACAGGATCTGTCTACTTGATTGATATGAGAACCAAAGAAGTAGGATGCCCATTGTCACCTAAGGGGGACAGTATAGCCTGGGAGTTGTTCTGTGTCTTGAAATGCTCAAAATCCTTTGAGATAGATTTAGATAAACCTTCCTGTTGTCAAGCCTAATTGGAAAGTTAACTCAAATATAAAAGCCCACTTGTCACTTTTGTATATCCTATTATCACAACAACGTGGAAAAGCAGGGACTTATGTCTTAACTGTGGTTTTTTTTCTTTTCAACCCTTTTTTTTAATAAGAGACTCCAGCAATTCCTTCAGAAGCTTTAGATCTTTTGTCTCTGCCCTAAAAGGTAGGACTGGGGTCCCAGGCTAGGACAACAATGTGTGAAGATGGATTTAGCTTCCGAAGCTCTGCACCCTACCATTCAGCAATGCTCAGGCTGGGAGGGCAGGACCTGAGAGGGCTCATTGTGCTACTTATCCTATGTCCCTCACCAGATCTTCATGGTCATCCCAGGCTCTGGCTCTGGATCTGAATCATACCAGTTTCTGTGTTTCCTCGGGTGGATTCTCCTCAGAACTGTGTGACTTTCACTCATTTTTAATTGATAAATTAGGACTTTCTTACCAGCCATTTAGGAACTCTCTCTGAGTTGTTCTAATTTTGATTCCAGGGTACTGAAGCCTCTGTTTTTATTTGTCTTGACCATAAAAGCTTGGATGGCTTTTTTTAAATGTTCCTGGTACTGAAAGGAGCATTTGCAGGTGTTGACATGTACCCCAAAATATCCATGAACATATGTCTACCAAATGAACGACCACCAGGCTTTTTTCAGAGTTCAAGCAAACCAAAGAAGAAGTTGGTGAGAGTGTGGCGATTTGGGGATGTGAAGAGTATGCAAGTGTACAGAACCCTAGAGGAAACATCTCCAGCTCTCATAGGCTGGGACTAGTCATAGTTAAGAAGGAGAGCTGTTGTGTTGCTGCTTAGGTTAGGAAGGATGAGCAGTTTGGGGGAATTTGTAGAAACATAAAGTTACTGTCCTTCTAGCCTAAGTTACTCTCTTTCTAGCCTCTGATCAAGGAGCAATTGCAGGGAAGCCTGGGTGATTCTGAAGTCATTTCCCAGCCCAGAGATATATTTCAAGATATTTCCACTTTTTCTGGGCCGGCCTGGTGGCACACTGGATAGTGCGCCGCTTGGGAAGCGCGGCGGCGCTCCCGTCCAAGGGGTCGGATCCCACATACAGACCAGTTCCCGCTCACTGGCTGAGCGAGGCGCGGGAGCAACACCGAGGGGTGCGATCCCGTTGCCGGTCCCCGGCGCGGTACGGGGGCAACACTGAGGGTTGCGATCCGTTGCCGGACACGGAAAAAGACAAAAGACAAAAAAAAAAAAAAGATATTTCCACTTTTCCTTAGAAACTCTGTATTCTTTTGCCATGTGCCTTAAAGCAGTAATTTTGTGATCTGTTTCTTATGGATCTCTCCCTGAAGGTTTTGGGCTGGCAACTAGTCTAACTCTGGTTTCTCATTTGATACAGGCTTGTATGACCATCTATGACATTCCTGACTTGCTGGGAGGAAGGGGGTGCTTAGGATCTGTGGTCTTCTCAGAATCATTTTTGACATCTCACATCTTGGTTAAAGAAAAGGGTAAGTGTATATGGTCATTGGAAAGCAAACCTTGAAACTTTTTGGTAAAATAAGCCATAAACTAAGGCAAAAGACCAGCAATAAACTGGTGAAAATAATAAAACACTTCTGATTAACAAAGGGTATATATCCTAATTTATGAAGAGCTCTTACAAATTATGGGCCGGCCCGGTGGCGCACTGCTACAGTGCGCCGCTTGGGAGCGCGGCGGCACTCCCGCCGAGGGTTCGGATCCCACATACAGACCGGCCGCTCACTGGCTGAGCGAGGTGTGGGCGCAACACCAAGGGTTGCGATCCTGTTGCCGGTCACGAAAAAAAGACAAAAAGACCAAAAGGAAAAAAAAAAAATTAATAAGAAAAAGATAAGCTACCCAATGGTAGAATTGGCAAAAAATATGGACAGGCAGTTTATAGAAGTAGAAATCAAAAAAGGGGGGAAGGAGGAAGAAATAGGAAAAGATATGCAGAAGATATACAGCCTCACTACTAGTCAAGAAAAAGCAATTTTTTTTTTTGTTGTTTGTTTGTTTTTTTTCCTTTTTGTCTTTTTTTACTGACCGGTAACGGGATCGCAACCCTCAGTGTCGCACCCGCACCGGGGACCGGCAACGAGATTGCAACCCTCGGTGTTGCGCCCGCTCCGCGCTCAGCCAGTGAGCGGGAACCGGTCTCCGCATGGGATCCGAACCCTCGGCGGGAGCGCCGCCACACTCCCAAGCGGCACACTCTCCAGTGCGCCACCGGGCCGGCCCAAGAAAAAGCAATTTGAAACAACAATTAGATACCATTTTTTATCCATTATGTTGGCAAAAATTTTTAAAGAATGATAATATCCAGTCCTGGTAAGATGAGCGTGATAATGTTCTGTTTGATTTTTTATACATATACCTGTACTATCTTGATAAAAAGTGAAAGTAAAGGTAAAAAGGACTAATTCCGAAGACTCTTCATTTAAATGTTTGTGTTTCTATTTGTTCTTAAAAACACCAAAGTTAATCATATGGAAGAACCTTTCTCCATCCTCCTCGTTAGTCTGTCTGTCCTCATATAAGGAAGTTTTCATTTTCTGAGGGCATCTGACTCTTTATACTAATAAGAGGAGCCCTTGCTGCTGAGAAAGGGAAGGGCATTTACAGTCTGGGACATTTACAGTCTTGTCAAAGTGGGCTAAGGTGGTTGGGAATAACTGTCATGTGTGTGGTCTTCCTACAGATGGCACTGTTACCACAGAAACCAGCTACACAGTCCTGACAGCCGCCATACCCAGATTCTGCTCCTGGCTGGTTAGTGTCGTTCATCAGGAGGAAGCGGATCTAAACGTGGACAAGTGGGGGAGAAGATTCGAGAAGAGAGCCGCTTTGCTGGGGCCCTGGTGGGATGTCAGATCCTAGCTGTTGTAGTTCATCAGGAGGAAGCGGATCTAAACGTGGACAAGTGGGGGAGAAGATTCGAGAAGAGAGCTGCTTTGCTGGGGCCCTGGTGGGATGTCAGATCCTAGCTGTTGTTCAGGAATGGAAGTTTTTATCTCAGACTTTATACAAATATAGATCCTTTAACTCTCTCAGAATCTTGGAAAAGTTTCAAAAGAAAGGAACTAAGTTATTTGGGTCTCTGTTAAATTGTGAAGGAAGAAATACCACACTCATTTTACAGATCAGGAGACTGTGGCTTAAAAGATGAACAGCCTGTCCAGGATCACACGAATAGTGGATCCTGTAGCTCCCTTCTCTGTTCAGAATGGTTGCTGCTGAGTTTTTACAGCAACATCTCTCTACATGTAGAAAAGTCCCATTTCCTCACTGGGACTTGGTCTGAAACTCTCTGGTGCTTTGGGACGTAGAAAGTCTGACAGAAGTGAGGCTGATAATGGTCTCAGTACCTATTTTGGAATCTGTTTATGTTCTGTTTCTACAGTTCTGACATTCATAGGGAAGAAAAGTCACCCACTAACATGAATATGTCTAAATGAAAACATGCTCTTTGAAAATATTTTAAAATGTTCTCTGTCCTTTATCCCTAAAAATAGTTGTTTTTCTCTGAAGTGAAATGTGAATGGAGATTAACACAACCTCTCTGCAAGTCATAGGCTCATTAGCTCGACTTCATGTCCCAGTGAGAGAGCCCACTATGGCCTTGGGCTCTGAGCCCTGATGACCAGCAGCCAATTCTGTCAGCTGTGTTGGGGCCTGAGAGCACTGGACATGGTAGAGGGACTGCTCAGTCAGTCTCCTGGAAATATTTGAACATGGTGGGGAGACCCAACAGGGTTTTGCCCTTGAAGTAGTAAACTGAAAATCTGCATTCCTTTTTGACACAGGTAGAAGATAATGAAGTAAAATTATCTGAGAAAACCCAGCAAGCAGTGAAGGTAAGCAACCTTCTTATTCTCAGTGTTAACATCATATCAAAATAAAATGTAAATAATTTATAAAGAAAATTTAGAGGCTGGCTGATTAGCTCAGTTGGTTAGAGCACAGCCTTGTAACACCAAGGTCAAGAGTTCCATTCCCCATACTGGCCAGCCCCTAAAAAAAGAAGAAAATTTAAAATAATACTGCTAATCTAAAAGGTCTGTACTTCTTTGTGTTCATTTCCTATTTGCATTCTTCCCCCTTCCAGCAGAGCTCTAGAGATAACCATTTATGGGGGACACTATTAGAGGGATTCTTTTTGCCATTTAGGTCTTTTTGGGGGAGGGGTGGTTAATCTCCCAGTACTATTAAAAACAGATCCCTGATTGGCCTAGACATGTAGAGCTGAGACATCAAGGCTTCAGGCCAAGGAGAAGCTGCCTCCTTTTTCACAGAGGAAGTAAATCCACTGGAACAAGAACAAGCATTTCAGGCTTTGGCGCCTGTACTCAGAGAGGACCTTAACACTTTTTCTCAGCACAAATCAAGGATGCCAGTAACATGCCAAGAGCCAGGCAACACCAAAGGCCATGGAATAAGTTGGGCATATCTGAGTCTGACTTACCTACTGTTGACAGACACAATTAGGCAGGACTTTTGATTCTGTGAGTATTTATAAGTCACCTGCTCTTTTTGTTTTTGTTGTTGTTTTTAAAGGGAGATGAGTGTTTCCTGGGTACTTTTCTAACAGGAGGAGACGGAGCATATCTTTATTCCAGCACTCTACAGTCTTGGCCTGAGGAAGGTAAGAAATCATGACTTTTCTATTCTTGGCTATGTCAGGGTCCCTCTTTTACAGGTATTAGCATGGGTACTGTGATTAATAATACATTTGATAATACTGGCCAGCTGCCAAAAAAAAAAAACCACAATACATCTGATATTTGAAAAGACTTGTTGCATAAGTGTTACAGCTTTTCTCCTTTGATCCACCCACTTCGTAGATGAGGAAACTTGTGCTAGGAAGAGCTGGTCCCAGAACTGCACATGGTTCTCTTATTGCTGCCTGAGGTTTGCTCTCAGAATGAGCTAGAACAGCAACATTTCCAGAAGTAGAATCTGTGGACCTAAAAAAAAATCTGGATTAGTTTTCTATTACTACATAAGAAATTACCACAAATTTAGTAGCTTAAAACAATACTCACTCACTATCAGGCAGGCTTGGGTAAATTCAGGTCTCATGAGGCCAAAGACAAGGCATCAGCCAGGCTAGTAGGCTCTTATCTAGAAGCTTTGGGGAAGATCATCTAGATTGTTGGTCTGTCAGTTCCTTCTGCTTGTAGGATTGAGGTCGCTGCTTTGTTGCTGGCTGTCAGCCCAGGACCGCTCTCAGCTCCTCCTCCTGGAGGTCCTTGCCCTGTGACCCCCTCTATCTCAGCAAAGAAAAATATCCCTGTGTCGAATCTTTCTCACACTTTGGATCTCTCTGAATTCCTCTTCTGCTGCCAGCATCTTAAATTTCTGCCTATCACAGTCTACCTTCTAACCTCCGTGATTCACATCTCTCTCTCTCATGCAAAATAGTCACCACCTCCCAAGGTTCTCATCCCATTATGGCAATAGTTCAAAATCCTAAGTCTCATGGGCTTAAATATCTAAAATCTCATTATCGGTATTATCTAAATCCCATGTAGATGAGGCTCAAGGGTGTAATCTATGAAGTACAGCTACTGAACACAATTCCTCTCAGTGTCTCTGGACCTGTAAAACTAAAGAGACAAGTTATCTTCCCCCAGCCCTCCCAACATAAAGTGGCACTGGCATAGGGTAACAGTTATAGACTTCAGGCTCAAAAAAGGAAAAAATAGAAGGTAAAAAGGAGTCACCAGCCCAAGCAGCTTTGAAATCCAGCTGGGCAACTCCAGTTCCTTGATTAGGGTTAAGGCCTGGAAATTATCTGCTGTGGCTCTCAGCTCTGCTCTCTGGGGTCTCGGTTCTACCCTCTGAGCTCTTAGTTTTGCCTTATGGGCTTTTGGTTCAGCCCTTTTAGTCACAAAGGACAGTGGTTCCTTGATTAGGTTTCAAGGCCTGGGAATAATTCTCTGTGGCCCTTAGCTCTGCCACCTGGGCTCTTGGTTCTATCCTCTGAGCTCTTGGTTTCTCTCTTGGTTCATGGTTGTGCCCTCTGGGCTTGTGGCTACACCTCTGTACATCCTTCGTTATTCAGTGAAAGGTAGATAGCACCCTGTTTGTAGCTGAGTAGTTTTATCAGCCTGCTTCTTGCCAGTAGAATTGTGGGGGTCCAGCAGTCTCCTTTCATTTTGTATACTCTGTCCATTTCAGTCCAAGTTGGCAGTGCTTCTGCTGATATAAAATTCTCAAGAACTAATGGTTGTACAAGTTTGTGAGTATACTAAAAATCCTTGAATTATATAAAATAAAACTCTCAAGAACGTTGTTGGTTTTGCATGAACTTTACAGGGTTTCACTCCATGTTCCTTTTTTGCTTCCTCAAAATAACATTTTCTTATAAGTCCTATTCATTCCCTGTTGAATATTGCCTTTTTGTGGAGGAGTTCCGACTTACTCCACAAATTCCTCAACCTCTACTAAGCAAATCCCTTTTCTGGATGATTTGTTGTTCTTATTGAAAATATTCTATCTGATGGCAAATTCCTCTCCGTATTCTCAGATCATTGGTCCAGCTTCTGCTCTTCCATTCACATAGAAGACAAAGCACAAGGAGTTCTGGGTTTTGATCCGCAAAATGCTGGGGTGGAAATAGTACTTGTTCTCATGCTTGTGCTATGGACCCTGCATTACTGCCTCTCTAGATCCTGGTTTAGAAGGTCTGGGGGTTAGGAACATTTGCTAAGGGCGTGGAGCGTGTAGCAATACTATCAGCCTTGGGGCAAGATTGCATAGTGTTTTGAAAGTAGGTTGTATACAACGCAGAAGTGGTTGTGCTCTGTCATCCATGAGCCCATATATTTGCCAAAATTAGTTTGCACCTTCTTAGCAAAGGGCCTTGTTAGAAAAATAATCTTGCATTGCATTGAGTTATTCAACAAGATTCAATGTATCCTGAGTTCTCTGTGCAAGAATAAACGGCACAGCCAGGGATTTCTGGGACCTTGTTGGTCACATTCTTAGATTTCAAACTTTCTTAGTTCCTGAGAGAAATCTAGTTTGAATTAGGAGATGGTTTCCTGAGGTAGGAAAATTCAATAGAAGCAGAGAATTTAAACAGGAGTCTCTCCTGGCTGTGTGTTCAGCATTTAGGCACTTTGGGGTTCAGGTTGGGGCTGATTTAGATTTTGTGGAACTTAAAGTTTATACCATTTGGGGACTCTCTAAAAGGAAAATAATACAAAATGGTTAGGGCTTTTCTCAGGGCCTTGGAAGGGGGCTTGGGCAGTTATGGGGTCCAGATGTTCAAATGTCATTAGTGTCTTGATAAATCTGCCTCTAATTGAGACTTTGATGAGCTTGAAATTTATCCGTACCCATCCTCTGAAGGTATTTATTTCAAGCCCATCACCATGCATTATCTTGATTGATCTAAAGATCCTCAGCCCCGTAGAAGGTGTAAGTTTGCCCGAGGTTGTAGTGCAGGTAATGACAACATCTAGAGGGTAGTCCAGGTCTGGAGGATAGTCCAGGTCTTCTGATTTTCACCCACCGGATTTCTTATGGATGAGAAGAATAGTACTTCCTTTACTTTGAAATGCTTCCAGCTCTGGAACCTTTTCTCTTCCTCGTAGTGGCTTCTGCTATCATGAGACTTTTTGGTATTTCAGCTTCCCATTCATTTATGTCCTTCATGTGCTCTTCTCTTCCCCCCGCCCTGTTGACCTTGGCCAGGCAGGCTGCCTAGTACCTAATCCTCAGGAACCTGCTTTCAAGTTTTATCACATATGCCTATATCCCTAAACAATTGTCTTCGTTTTTTAACTTAATACAAATAAGATCATACTATGTGTTTTCTCCTGGAACTTGCTTTTTTTTGCTCAATAGTATGTTCCTACGATTCGTTCAGGTTATTGTGTGTAGACACATAAAAGTAGTTCATTCATTTTTGTGGCTCTAAGGTATTTATCATTTTGATTTTTGATGGACATTTGGGTTGTTTATAGTTTTTTGCTATTGCAGACAGTACTGTCATGAACATTCTTGTACATGTCATTGGTTTTGGAGGCTCAAAGTCAGATTTGTCATCAATTTATTGATTGAGATGCCATTACTGGGCAGTTTCTTCTTAGAGCATTTTATCTGAATTACTGCAGTTCTAAAGAATGTCTACTGATAAACCTTGTCACAGAAACAGGTATGTACATGTAAACCTCATTATAGGAACATGCACATGTGCAAAGCGGGAGATGCGTGAAGGACATGAAAGGTGTGAGAACAGTTCCTATTTCAGACAAGCAAGCACAATACATGCCTTCGTGCCTCCTTCATGCCTTCCCAGCTCTTATTTTGTCTGAGTCCAACAGAAAGTGATTTCATCAACTTTCACATTTCCCCTTTTTGATAAAGATCTTTCTCTGAAAGCATGCTGATCAATTAGCTTGTTGTCAGGGTTTAAGTGTCCCTCAACATTGAAATGGACATGTCCTGGTTTATTGTTCTGGTCCCATGGTAGGGGGGAAATGATGAACAGTTGGAAGTCAGTGTCAAGACCATTTTAGCTACATTTGAGCAACAAGGAGGTTAGAAGGAAAAGTTATTAGGCCTAGGTTGTTTGGATTTCATCAGGTTTGATTTTTGTTCCTTAGGTGTTAGTTGTCATATCAGAATGCTGGGCCAATGTTATTTTGTCAGGAGTTGCATTTCTGCAGATATTTGATAGACAACAAGTACACAGTTTAAAAAGGAAAATGTAAAGCAAAGATAACAGCAATATGACAATTCCAGTTTGTATGATGGTTTTAAGTTATGAACTTAGACTTAAAGTCAGCCAACTAAATAGATCAAATGACCACGGGGAACTGGGTGAGACTTCTTGTAGCCATGCGGCTTGTTGTCTTATTTTATGCAACCGAATCTCAGCTTCCCCAGAGGAGTTTATGTAGTATTAACAGTAGCACAGACACCACCTTGCTCAGCTAATAGATAATGAAGAGCAATTGAGAAGTTCAGTGCTGTTGTGCAGCAATAGCCCTTGCAGTGGAGCCCGTAAGAATTCCTAGGGTAGCAGATAAATTTCTCATCATTTCTTCATTAGCAGCTACACCATACCATGGTAAAAAAAGATCTGCAAAAGGAAGTAAATTCAGAATATTGTAATTCACCAGGTAACTCACTCTTGACCCTTTGATGTAATGAAAGGGCTAGTCCAGCTATTATTCTGTGGAACAGTTTCAGATCTATTACGTATTAACAACAAAGTATTCAAATATCCCAATCCACATTGGCCTCCAGTTGTTCAGCTGTCTAGAGACCCATATTGAGGTATCTCGCCCACAAAAGTAAATATATCCTATAGCAGCACAGACAATTCTTCTATCTTCCATCTATGAATTTTCTTTGTATAATAGTTAAACTAGGGGTCAGTTATATTACTGCATATTGCTAATGGCCCTCCCTTTCGAAATGAGTTCAAGTGACTTTTTCTGCATATGTTAGGGGACCTAAGGAATATTTTAAGAGGAATGACCCATTCTCCATTTCTAGGGTCTAACTAGGAGATCATCGCTTTGAGTAGGTAAGACAGGGATGGTAATTGAAGGTGGATGAGAAAGTTGAACCCTATGGGAGGATCTAGTGGAAATGTTGTAAAAAATGGACGGCAAGGAAGCGACC